GCACGGCATCACCCTTCGTGCTTTACACTCTTCCTCACCCAAACAACAAACACAAACAATAAGGGCAAGGAATAAATGAATCATAATAAAATCCCGGCAAAGGAACAATATTAAAACAACAACCTCCCGGCAAGGGAACAACATTTAAAAAGCAACAACATCCTGGCAAGGGATCAATACCATAATCCTTCTCTCATTTTCACATTTACTTCACAACTTGGTTCACAATTTGAGCCAATGCTCTATAAGATTCAATTGCCAATTATACTTCCACAATTCACTTTGCAACTTGAGCCAACGCTCTTTAAAATACAAATGCCAATATTCTTTCCACAAACCTTGCACAACAATAGCAACCACCACAGTAAACATGAACAATACAAACGGAGTCACATTAATCACATCATAAGACCCACGGGCATGCTTGACACCAACGTATAGATACTCGTCACCATGCCTATACGTCGTACTCAACAAATAACACGTAGCAAATAGGACACAGCTCCTAATCCCTCAAGCTAAGGTTAGACCAAACACTTGACTCGATGCCTCGAACACAGTTCAAGCCTCAACTATCGCTTTACCTCTTGATTCCACCACCAATTCGCTCGTAGCTAGCCACAAGTTACTTAATTATATCAATAAATGCTAAATAAATCAATTCTAATGCATGGAAATAAGTTTTCTAAAGTTTTTCCCAAAAAGTCAAAAATTGACCCCGGGCCCACATGGTCAAAACCCGAGGTTCAAGCCAAAACCCGACTACCCATTCACTTACGAACTCAAATATATAATTTATTTTGAAATCGGACCTCAAATCGAGGTCCAAATCCCCAAAATTTGAAAAACCTAGGTTCTACCCAAAACACCCAATTTCCCACGTGAAAATTATTGATTTTGAGTTGAACTCATGTGAAAAGATGTTAAGGATTGAAGAAAACTAGTTAGAAACGATTTATAATTGATTTGGAGAAGAAGTTTTCTTTGGAAAATCGCCCAAGAGAGTTTATGTTTTGAGAAGATATGAAAAATGGCTGAAAATGCGTCTAAGTGTGGATTTACAGGTCTCTGATGTCGCAATTGCGACCAGGGTTCGCAATTGCAAACCCAGACTCTGCTGTTATCGCATTTGCGAAGCGACCCTCGCATTTGCGAAGTCACTTTTGCGATAATTATGTCGAATTTGCGACGACTGGCCACAACAAGGGGCATTGCATTTGCGATGAATGCTTCGCATTTGTGAGGAAGTGCTGGTCTGGGCTATTTCCCATTTGCGACACAGCCTTCGCATTTGCGTACTCGCATTTGCGAGCCAGGCTTCGCAAATGCGAAGTCTGCAGGCCTGCAACACACCAGTTCAAATCTGCAACACCCTAAGTCCAAATTTCACTCCGTGGCCTATCCAAACTCACCCGAGCCCTCGGGTCTCCAAACCAAACATACACGTAAGTCCAAAAATATCATACGAACTCGTTCGTGCATTCAAATCACCAACATAATATCAACAACTATGAATTTAGCATCAAAATCATGAAATCACTTAAGAACATCAAAATTTTCTAATTTTCTCAAATAAGGTCTGATTCACGTCATTTCAAGTCCGTTTCTTACCGAACTTCATAGACTCAACTTAAATCACATACAAGACCTGTACCGGGCTCCGGAACCAAGATACGGGCCCGATACCATCAAATTTCAAACACATTTCATTTTCAAAAACTCATGCATTTTTCAAAAAACAATTTTCTTTAAAAATTCATTTCTCGAGCTAGGGACCTCGAAATTCGATTCCGGGCATACACCAAGTCCCATATTTTCTTACAGACCTCCCGAGATCGTGGAACACGGATCCGGGTCCGTTTGCTCAAAATGTTGACCGAAGTCAACTTAAATTTATTTTAAAGGCAAGATTCATTATTTTTCACAGATTTTCATATAATGGCTTTCCGGTTACGCGCCCGAACTGCGCACGTAAATCGAGGTGAGGTAAAAAGGAGGTTTTTAGGTCTCAGAATACTGAATTTGTTTCTAAAACAAGTGATGACTTTTTGGGTCATTACAGTTATAATAGTTGTATGTGTGCTAACAAACTAATCGAAAAGGATGTCCAAACATTATGGATATTATTTATTAAAAGGAGACAACTGATAACTTTCTTTGGAAAAATTCAGTTGTCATTAGTAAATTTTTTGTAAAAATAGCACGGGCTAGCCAGTTTTCGGATTGGTCATTCAAAAATAGCCAGCGTTTACCAAGTCAATGAAAAATAGCCACTATTTTGCTGCAAGAGAGACCGGTCCAGCATAATATACTGGAGTTCGGTGCACCTGTGTATGAACTTGCAGCATTTTATGCTGGAACTCCAACACACGGAAAGTTCCAACATAATATACTGGAGATTCGAGCACTTGTGTATGAACTTCCAGCATATTATACTGGACCGGTATACTTTTCTGGAACTCCAGTACATTATGCTGGAGTTCTAGTGTACTTATGCTGGAACTCCATCATATTATGCTGGAGTTCCAGCATACTTATCCTGGAACTCCAGTATAATATGCTGGAGTTCAAGTATACTTATGCTGGAACTCCAGCATAATATACTGGCGTATTTTCCGGTTTTGAACAGTGTTTTCGATGAGATTTATCTTTACATGAAAAGTGGCTAGATTTCGATTACTTTTAAAACTGAGCTATTTTTGAACGACCACTTGTAAATCTGGCTATTTTTGAATTTCTGGTTAGACGAACATGTACAAGAAATCTATTTATATAAAAGAAGGTTAATAACTGACATTGTTACTTTTAAATTGATGTCTAAGTGGACCAGGCCATGATTGGGAAATTTTCATATCTACAAGGTCTATAAGAATAAATAACATTTATCACAACCATTTACAAATTTACATTATATACAACAAAAGATTTTATCCTATCTATATCACAGTTGGCAAAACCTAACCCAAACAATTGAATAATGCTATATTTTAAGCCTAAAAGAGTGGAAAACTTATCAAAACAATCACTCATTTCCTAATAGTAATCTCTCATCATCTTTTTCGGCATTTGTTTTATTCCTTCTAAAAATAGTATCTTCACTCGTAAGTTAACTTTTTCAATACTATTTTTTTTTTTTTTTTGGTGAAAATAAAGTACATATTATATAAAGACCACCAATAACAAATCTGCTAAATCAGTTTCAAAAAATCATATATCCTATAAATAATGATATATTGATGGTATATAATTATATTATGTACGTATATAAATAGATTATGTCACATATATTACTTATATACATACTGTAATATATATGCAGTTAATATGCCAATTACATTTACTGTAATATACATATATTGTGTACGTATAATTAACAAGTATATATTATTAATATACATATAATATATTAGGTATACTATTTGAATATATCATATATTGTATGTTTATACTTATATAATATACATATATAGCCATCTTCAATTAATGTCAAACTCTTCAAGTAACAATTTTCCCCATGTCTTGTCAAAGACAATAACATAAGGGTTGTCAAGATCTTTGAAGAAGTGTATGGATATTAACTAAAGGAGAATAATTTAGAAGTTGTACAATTTTATAGAAAGGTACAGATTTTCAAGATGAATTTATGATACTATCAATAAGCAATATTCAAATTATACCGTCTAATAGCAAAGAATCATGGAATAGCAACATGACAATGTCTGTGAGGGCAAAACTTTAATATTTTACCGTTTCATATACTAAAAAACTAGAAGAGAGAGAAAATAAAAAAAATTGAAAAATTAAAAAGAACATACGTTTTATGTAGGGATATGTAGTTGTGTTATAAAATCTTAAGAGAGATATAAGGATAAGTTTTAGGTGAGAGAATCTCAAGAAAGATATATTAGGAATATTAAAAGTTGTAGATTTTAAAATAAATTGTATTTTATGTAATTTTTTAGAAGCAGTTATAACTTATTTAAATAAGTATCAAAAAAGTTGTATTCTGTATAAATTCCTCATTTAATTTCGCGTTTAGTCGTGCTGGTAAAATTACCTATACGGCTTTGCCAATAACAACGACGACCCAGTGAAATCCCATTAGTGGGATCTGAGAAGGGTAGTGTATATGCAGACCTTACCTCTACCACGAGAGGATACAAAGGTTGTTTCTGAAAAACTATTGGCTCAAGAAGACGAAAAACTATACGGCTTTGTCACTAAACATATATACAACCCTTTTTTTAGCGTACGGTTTTAAGTGTAAAAGTTCCCCTTCTATCAAATGAATCCTATGTCTACGTGCAAATACTCTTGGCTTAAGGCTCTATTCAGATTAGAGGTGGCAAAATGATTAAAAGAAAACAGTTAATCACCCATATTATCTACCAAAAAATGAGTTGGATAATGAACTTTTTAAAAACATATCAAATATGGATAAAAATCATATTATCCATTTAGAAAATGAATAACCAATGGATCTAACTTTTACATGTAAAGCCTCAAATTGGGGTTCCTTACGTTAGGGAGACAAAATTCTCCTAAAAGTGATCATATGCAAGAAGTCATGGATAATATGGTTACTCATATCATCCGCCAGTTAACCCGTTTTTTATCCGTATTAAATATGGGTCGGGTAAGTAATCCGTTTCTTTCATTACCCGTTTCGACCCGAACCATTTCCGACCCAACCCGACTGTTTGCTACTCCTAATTCCAATTAACAACGAAAGTAAAGGAGACAAATATAGCTAACAAATAGGTGACTTCGTATGCCACCATGCATTATCATTCAGCTTCCAGATTTCTCTACCCAAAACTCTTTAGCACCCAAAACAGAGGAATCCAGACAACGAGTAAGAGCAAGACCTCGCCCGGGAAGAAATTTAGTATGGCCCTTCCCCAGACATTGAGTGAATGATGGATGCTTTGTGCATCAAGCTGCCTTTTATTATTAAAAAACTAAAAACAAAAACAGGTAAATCCCTCATAACATACAGCTCAAATCCAGAATGCAGTTGGTTCTAGTAAAAAGTCTTGATGCCATTCATATATACAACGGATACACAATCACAAATTTTTTATGGATTGTGTATTCTCAGTGCTAGCACGACAAGTATAACAAATAAATATTCAACTAAAAAAGTTAATACTGTAACACCAATTCACGAACAAGATGAAATCTAACCCGACAAAATTTCTGGTGTTCTTCAAACAGAGCCGAGGAGATACAACATCGATTAATTTCTCGCATTGGTCCATGCCAAAGTATAGTTACCCTAGAGATAATTTAATTAGTCCATAATACCTAACACACCACAAGCATCTTTATGGTCAAAGGATGGGAACATCACAAATTCCAGGGTCAGAATCAAATTTACCCTAAAAATTAATCTAACTATCAGGGACTGAATGGTTATCAGCCAACACCATTTTTAACCAGGACAAAGACGACCACAACGGCCCACTGGTGAACAGGTAATTGACAGGAAAGAAGGTTATAAGTAATATGTGGGTGAAACTTCTGTATTGAAAACTTCAACCTACAGAAAGTGTCTCTACTCTGAGCTATAATCCTTGTTAAAAGAATTAAAGCATCCTAACAGTAATACATTGTGGAATCACCAGCCAAAATTGATGTTTCCTCGCCTTGCTGCTTGTGACTTTTTGCTAGTTATATAATCCTTACAGAACCTCCAACCACCAGCCAAAAGAGAAAAGGAAAGAGGAGGAAAGCCAGGAAGAGAAAAGAGAAGCCAGTTGGAAAAATGGGGAAGAGTAAAAGTGAAAGGAAAGAGAAAAGGGGGAGCGAGGAAAGGGAAGGAAATGAGAAGTGTGACATCAACCACATCTAGTTTGAGAAACAGGATACAGCTCTCAGTCCATACATCCAGCACCACCTAGACAAAAAAAAAAGGAAAACCGAAAAAAAGAGAAAAAAAAAACAAACAAATAAAAAACAGAAAACATGGGCAGATATTCTTCAGACAGTTAACAAAGAGTACCTTCAGAATGACTAATGTAGGCACCATGAAAGAATAGGAGTCAATGTAGCTATTGAAAAAGTATAACTTCCAGAATCACATACAAGATCCAGATCAAGGAATTGTTCAGATTAGGTTTTTCATACAACGAATATAGCTTCTATATGTTATAGCATGCTATTAGCAAGTTCCAACACACAGTGCAAACATGGACTTCATAGAAACGAATCCCACCAAATAAATGGCTTCACATTTTCTGTTTTTCTAAAGCCTGCTGTTTTTTTAAGTGGCAAATTTTTCCTAATATTTAAAGTAATTGCACGAGGTTTCAATTACCTTATTAGTGTAACCCGCGAGGGACACAAAGCAACTAAAATACAAGCAAGAGAGCCCAGATAAACCACCTGTTAGTCATTTAGACTGCTGTGGCTACTTAATAGTGAGTGAACTACAGCATTCAGCTATAACCACCAAGTCTTCCAGCTATCGCGTTTGCAAGGGTAAAAACTAGAAGCTAGTGAATTCAGCAAGATTTTACCTGTTACGGAACAACAATTGAGTTTCACCAATTAAAGAACAGATATGAGAATATCTGTTCATGCTCGATTCAGGGAGCATCGCGATTCTACTGATCTCAGCAACACCTGGTTGCAACAGCCTTAATAGCAGCCTGCCTAACCAAACATTTTCAAGGGGAAAAAAGGAAAAAAAAAGAAGGGAAAAAAAGAAGAAAATGAAAAAAGGAAGGGCGAAGAAAAGATGAGGAAAGAGGCAATGAATGTGAAGATTAACAACCTTAAACTTTAACATATTTCTTCATCCAAGCAATTTTCAGCCAGCATTCGTAATGTATTTGTTCCAACAGCAGCAATGCCGTCCCATTTAAACAACAAAAATTTTCAATTGCATACCTTCAAATACAATCAGATATAACTGTGCCCATTCATTTGATAAAGCGCCGACAAGAATGATAAAGCGCCGACAAGAATCAGTCCCACAACCTGCATGTTTTTTTGGAATTTAACAGGCCCACCAAGCCACTAAATGAAAATAAAATTGGATCCTCCTACAGAACTACCAGCATCACTAACTCATCATTGCAAAAGTAGTAAATAAAATCACAAGACATCCAAGCTACTTAAGAAGAAATGCTTTTTCAAACCCTTTATCAGTAATTCGCTCAGTTAAGGGTACAGTTAAGAGTACAGTATATGAAGTCATAAAGCTCAAGGGCAATCAAATTCTTCAAGTGGAAGGCATAATTCCCTCACAACAAAGGACATCTGATATACCTTCCGTCACAGTACTGAGATTACTAAAAGGATAAGGAGTAATTAAGATCCTTGAACAGGCATACAATTAACAAGTTACTACCTACTGATAGAGGTAAAAGTTCACCATACATGAGGCTCAAAAAGTAGTTCACAAGAAACTCAGCATAGTTGATCCAAGATGGTGCAGAAGCAAGCTTGATATTCAATCTTTCAACTAATGCTACTTCACTTCCTGCATATGTTCCATTGAAAGACCTGCAAAAGAAGCAAAAATATGCGTATTTGTCATACAAACTGCAACTAATTCACTCTAAGAGATCTTGCTCATCAAAAGGAGTCAATCTGTGTCCTGCGGTCACGTTCTTCCAAGGCACCTTGCCTCCTCAAAACCTTCCATGTTTTCTGCAATGATAAAATAAAATGTTCACAAGATCAACAATCACAAGCCATAACCCATAGATTCAGAAACTCTTCGAATTGGAAGCTATCTGTAGCTGGTTCACATTCCCTTAGCAGGATCTTCTTCAATCAAGCTAGCTTCACTTGTTCCATTATTACTGTCATGCCGCCTGGAACTTTTCTGGTGACCCCTATGACCTCTCACTTCATCCTTTATGGTTTCATCTTCACCTGATCCATGCCTACTTTCAGCAGATTTTGATCTAGAGCGTCCCCTGTGTCTTGATCGTCGGTCATCGGAACGCCTTGTAGACTGTTTACTGCTGTGCTGCTTATCATCGACAGATCTTGACCTGGACCGCTTTTTACTACGACTCTTTGACTTCTCTTTTCTGCTCCTTTCCAATTTATCACTTGAACGATGTTTTTCTTCAGGAGATCTGGACCTTGACTTTGAATGCCTTCTACTTCGATGCTTTGGCTTATCTCCTTTACCTCTATCTAATTTATTACTTGAGTGATATTTCTCTTCAGGAGATTTGGACCTTGACTTGGAGCGCCTTCTAACATGGTGCTTTCTTTTCTCTTCTCTGCTTCTGCCAGAACGATGCTTCTCTTCTGGAGACCTGGACCTGGAGGTTCTTCCATGCTTTGACTTGCTTTCTTCCAGCACTTCTGGTGACATTTTCTTCTGTGCATCCTCAACAATCTGTGGTGATGCTGACCTTCCCTGATCTTTCTCTTCAGGAGATTTGGACCTTGACTTGGAGCGCCTTCTAGCATGATGCTTTCTTTTCTCTTCTCTGCTTCTGCTAGAATGATGCTTCTCTTCTGGAGACCTGGACCTGGAGGTTCTTCCATGCTTTGACTTGCTTTCTTCTGGGACTTCTGGTGACATTTTCTTCTGTGCATCCTCAACAACCTGTGGTGATGGTGACCTTCCCTGGTCCTTCTGCTTGGCTTTTTCACCCCTGCTTCCTTCAAGCTTATCATCAGACTGGTCCCTACCTTCAGCAGACTTTGATCTCGATCGCCTGCTATACTTTGACTTTCTTTCACCATCTTTTGGGGATGACCTACTTCTTCGTCCATGTTCAGGAGATAATGACTCACGGCGAGAAGCTCTACTTGTCTTGTGAACTGGACTTTCTCGGCGGCGTTTTGGTGAGCCTAAATCAGCACGGTAAGATTTTCTAGTTCGAGGACTTGTGCTCCTACTTCGGTTTCTCCTTGAAACAGGAGAACGACGATCATAGAATCTAACAGAATCCCGCCTTCTTCCTCTGTCACTAGCATATCTAACATCCCTATATGACCGCCTTTCATCTTCAATGCCTGAATAACGACGGGATCTTACTGGTGACCTTGATCTATAATCTCTTGATCTCCGCGGCACAGGAGAGAAAGAGCGGGATCTTGGTCTTCGCCTATAACTTATTGGAGATCTGGACTTAGATCTTGATTTGGATGGTGACCTGGATCTTGACCTAGCACGATCAGCAGATGGTGACCTGTGGCAGTTCAGCTCATTAGTAGAAGTCAAATACAGTTAAACCAGCAAATAATGGTAATGAAGACAAATTCTAAACACATTCGGACATCTGGAGACAATTCAATTCCAGAAAAAGAAATTGTCACCTTCCTAGAAAATTGCTCCAGATTAACATTCTTCCCCTTGTTTTTTCACAATAAATAACAACCACTACTAGGTATACATTAAAGCATCTCCTGCGGAACCAAAATAGATTATGCCACAGTCATTCAAACTTATAAATTTTATGTAAACTATGCTCGAGAGCTTCACTAAGGAAGCCTTGTGCTTGGTCCTCCCCCATGCCCACCATTGTAAGACATATGATACTTTGGAGATTCAGAAGGCCAGGCTCATACTTAGGTTCCTCCTCCTAGAACACATTTGCATATAACTTATACAGCCGGTCTAACAACAGTGGCCCCAAAAAGAGAGCTGGTGAACTGTATTATCTTAATTGTGCCATCATGCAAAAAAAAAATTCAAATCTAATTAAGCAAAGTAGATACTAAACTTGAATTTGGTTTCTAGTTGCCTCTTTATCCCTAAAGTTAAAGCCATCCAAGGGGATGCTTAAAGAGTCGCATGACTCACAACTATGTCTATTAAGTAGTCAATTATCATCAACGGATTGAAGATAGCCAGCTATATGTCATCATTCTTGGTATCTGCAAGTATGGGTATTCATAGCTTACACTCACTTAGGGCTGTTTCACAAACGCAAGGCATGATGATGGTCTTCAGGTGTAAAAAGTCCTACTACTAATAGCTAATTAGATAATCCTGACAGCAGTTAGATGAATTACCAAACACATAAGATAGATTATAAACATATGACGGAAATAGTTCAGGTGACATACTTGGCCTTGTCATCAGTTTCCTTATCATCAGAAAGCAGACCATCAGCTTTCAACTTCTTGCTTATTTCTGCAGCTCTTGCGGCAGCCAAATCAGTGGAACTCTTCATGGTTGCAGCTCGATTAGCTGCTTGCTGCGCAGTCATAGCTTGCTGCATTAATAGGGCCTGTTGAAACTGCATCTGCTGCATTGCTACTGCTTGCTGCATCATCAAGGGCAAAGAAGATGAACCCATTGATGAATTTAAAACAGCTGGCTTTGGAGGAAGTTGCTTTGCCATTTCAACATTTAAGGGGCGACCACCAACTTCTATATTGTTCAACGCCAAAGCAGCAGTTGTTTCTTCAGGTTTTGAGTATTCAATGTAAGCAAAATGTTTGGATTCAGTAATGCTACAATCAACGATTGTACCATAGAAACCAAACAGTTGTTTCAACTGATCCACTGTCAGAAGTGGGCTGAGGTTGCTGACTTGCAGAGTTCTTTTAAGGGAATCGGCCTTTCCATCTTGGTCACCTGTTGAAGGTAAAGAACACAAATAGCAAAACAGTAAGAATGAGGTACACTCTTATGGACACCTAGGAGAATGTGTTATATGCTTTCTACACATCATCTATTGTGATGAGTAGGTTGAGGGAAGTAGCAAAGAAAAAGTAGTAAGAGACTATCTGGAAGGAGCAAAGTAGTGGTACATCTCAGTCTTCTCTTTTAAATTATTGCAGCAAACTATTTTGGAGAATATTATTTGGGTAAGAAAAGTTTATGGATCATCGCCAGTAACCACCAAATATGAATTACTTATTGGACAATAATGAGAGATAAAAGTAGCAGTTAAATTTCAAGAATCAATGTTTTAGTGGAGTAAGAAAATTTAAGAATCACTCACAATAATTCATCAACAAATAGGAAGAATTTATTGACCATGATGGGAGCTAGAAATACCAGAGGAATCTTTTGCAGACTGAGCTTGTGCATGCGCTTGAAGAGCTTGAGCAGCAACAATTGCCTGAGCAGCAGCCATTGCAGCCGCAGAAGGTGCCATGGGCACTTGACTAAGAGTTCCCATACTGGTAGTCGCAGCTAGAGCAGTCATTAGAAGATTGTGAGGGGGATGATTGAATTTGCAGTCAGTTTTTGCACACCGTCCGTAAAGGTATTCTCGACAAACTTCCCCAAGAGATGCCCCAATTCCAGGTAAAACTACTCCTCCCAAAGCTCCAGGAACAATACCTGGTATCATCCCGAGCAATCCTGGGACTGCCCCAGATACAGAACCAGAATAGTTTGGCATATTAGGCATGTTCTGGTTGACCATATTTGGAAAATTGGTTGATGGTGCTACACCCAATACTCCACCAGTAGTACTACCTGCATGATATAAATAAAATATTAAAATTTTCAACATCTAGAATACGATGTTGACTTTTCTGCATTTACTTAAGCAGAGTGAACACGTACTGCATGAGAATCAAATCCAAAACACTCCCCCTTACCTTCCACATCACTCTACTGTTTTTTTTGTTTTTGTTTGACACAGTACCAGACTCGAACTCTTGACCTAGTGGCATGAAGAAGACTCTCTCAACCACTATGAACAAGAACGGCTGGTATCCACATCACTCTACTGTTATTTCATTGAACAGGAGGATAGGCTTCAACTTGAGAAACAAATATTTTATTGTTTTCTCAAATATTCACTGCTATCAAATAGCAGTGCATCTACATTTTCTCGCCAATGCTCTGATTTATTTGTAAGGTTTGACTCTTCTATCACTTTTTAAAAGAATACCACAGTATATGTACATACTCATGGAAAGGGACAAATATGATCACACAGAAGACAACATTCTATGTTGGGGGCAGAGCAGAATAATTAGGGGGAAGAGGTAAACTGGATACAATTCGAGACTACTGATGGGTGATGAAAATTGTCCCCAAGGTGAAATCATATAGTCCACAATCACATTGAGGTGTTACTTGTTTACTCTTACTAAGTAGAATCTCAATTTAACACCAAACAACTTTGTTAAAATTGGAAAAGAGAAACAGGTCTTTTTTCAACTAGAACTTTGCTAAAATTGGAAAACAGAAATGGACTTTAAAACATCACAAGTAGGAGCCCCATAAATATTAACTTACCAATTTACTAAGACCAATACAACAACTAAGGGAACTCAACAAGCCATCCTAGTAAACACAGGAATTATCAAGACAAACCATTTATTTAAATATAAGGCAACAATTGAATTGACCATCCTCAATCAAATGGAAACCTCATCTCAGCAACTCCATTGATACTAGATCACAAATAATTCAGCTTCTATTCTGTAGATGTGTGAAGTCTTTGAGCAGCTGGTTTGTGGCCTATTTGGTTTGGATTATCAGAACTATTTTGACTATTTGATGGTTTACTACAATGACCAATTTCATTTAGGTTATAGCTATCAGATCAAAAACCTTTTTTGTGGTACAATAGCCATATAGTAATTCTGATCAATGAAATTGATTAACTTAGGTTAAATAACCCAAACAAGCCTTTATATATTTACAATCCATTTACTAAAAAAAATATCAGCTTCTATTGCAAGCTTGCAACCCAATCAACTATCTCATAACCACAGTTACGATAGAACAAAAACCAGTTACAACTTACTCCGTCCCAAATCTTAAGTCAAATTAGACTTTGGTCAAAAGTATCTTTAGATAAATTTACACCTTTTTTTAAAAAAGTTGTAGGCCGTATAGGCGAAGAAATGGGTGCAAGAACAGCAACTACACCTTAATCCTACTCTAGTTCAGGCTGGATTTATGAATCCCCGCGACCATTCTTCTCCATTGGGACCTATTTAACTCCAATGTTATATAATTCAGATTTTATAATACTAGAGTATCTCTACAATATACTTTTTATGACGGCAGTGTCCCGACCAACTTGTGTGTCGACTATTCCACTGAGTACTTGCTACCCACAAGACAGGTACCGAATAACACTACTCACCAAGATGTAGGTAGATGGAAAGAAATCAGCCGGTGTAGGAACTCATGATTCTCCCGCACTTCATTGACCACTAAGCCATATCATTGGGTGTAGTATCTCTACAACAGTTACAAATATACAAATCTCTAGACAAACTAAAAAAAACTCCTCGTAGCAAATACTAAACAAAATATAAGCTTACTATTGTGACTGAACCTTTATCCCAACTAATTACTAGCATCTGTTGCTTCCATTCTTTTTTTAAAAACTGAACGAAGAAAGTATAAAGCAAAAATGAATTTCACAAAACTGAGTGAAGAAAAAAAAACTAACCTGTGCTGAAGAAAACAGGGAAAGGACTACCCATGATGGGCTTCCCATTACATTCCACATTCACCATATAATTCCCTCTCTTCTGAACAATATAACTCACTGTGTACGTCCCATCACTCATATCCTTTACTATCCCTTCCAAATCCGATCCTCCAACTCCAACACCAGGTGAAACTCTAACCTTAACCTGGGCCCCACCATGCGGAATCTTACGACCGTCGGAGTCCTTCGTGACAACAGTGAACGTCGACGGAGCACACGCCGTTCCGCCGGCGATCCCGGTGCCGGCGGCCGTGCATTTCGTAGGGTCAACAGGACCGATCGGCTTCTCGGCGATCCTCTTCTGCTCGTACTCCTCATCATCTTCGTCGCTATCGGATGCGGCGGCCGCCGCCGCCGCCGCGGCTGAAGCTTCGACGTTTTTGAATGTAGCTTCGAATGCAGCTTTCGCGGCTGCGTCTTTCTCCGCTTCGCTCTTCAGCTTCGCTTCCTCGGCTTGCTTCACCCATATTGACTTCACCGCCGTAATCGCCGTTGAATTGCTTCGGTCAGCCATGTACTACTGTAGCCACAAATGTCCTAACCCTAAATTTTGTGAGGGGGTCGGGTAAGGGATGTCCGGGGTAAGAGAATTTTCATTAAATGCCTAAGAGAAATAGAAAAAATAAGAGGTGCAAATGTATAAAAACCTCAAGTTTTTGGACTCGTATAGGATTTAAAGAAGTAGTAGTACTTAAATAAACTATTGAAAACTATGTGGGTGTTTGGACATAAGAATTGTAAAATTAAAAAAAAAAAAGTGTTTTTTTTATGGTATTTGAAAATTAGAGTTGTGTTTGAACATGAATATAATTTTGGGTTGTTTTTTAAGTTTCTTTTTTTGGTAATTAAATCTTTATATTAACCACCGATATAAATATTTACAAAGCAGTAGATCACCACAACCTACTTCCTTACTGGAAAAATAACTCTCTCTATATCTTCCCTGCCTCCTAATCTCTTTTGTACATTTCTCTCTCAAGCTAACTACTCAGTGTTTACATTTTGTTAAAAGGACACGAGTATAACCCTCAACTCTAATGCTGCACATGCAGACCACTCTCCTTGCAAGGACATCATATGTTGTTGCTTTCTTCTCAAATATCATTGTATTTCTCTCAATCCACACTGTGTGTAAATTTAGCAAATACTAGTTTGAGTATCCTAGCCAGCTGAGATCGCCCCTTTGTTTTCTTTACAATCCAGTTCTGCCATTCAGACCATGATATTGTAAATGGTTGATGCACCTGTAACCATTGCATGAGTCTGAACCATATATTTCTACCATATGCACATTCTGCAAAGACGTGATCCCTTGCTTCTGGTGCTTGATTGCAAAAGCAGCATGTATCGTCCACTTGTATTCCCCAATTCTTCAATCTGTCAGCAGTGAGCAGTCTTCCCTGTATTTGTAGTCACATTGTGAAGATTGCTTTTGGTCGTGCTCGATTCTGATACATTAAACTATTCCATGGAACTTTAGGCAGCTCTCCTAACAATTGCAGGTAAAGCTGCTTGATTACATTCTTTGGTTAGCTTGGCTATTGCTGATGCCTTCCAGGTTACCCTTTGCTCCAAATATTTTCCTTACCATCCAAGATGCCTGTTTTGGTGCTTCCATGATGGCAAAGATTTGATCCCTAATGTAGTAGCTACGGATCCATTTGATCCAAAGCTTATCTTTCTTATTTTCCGTTTCCCAGCATGTTTTTGTGATCGTTGCCTTATTACATAATGCCAAGTTGATCAAGTTAAGTCCCCCTATTGCTCTAGGTGCACACATCTTGTCCCATGCCACTAAAGCTTTTTTAGTGATTACATTCTCCCCCGACCACACATAGCTTCTGCAGTGGGCCTCGGTTGCTTTGACAACTTTAGCTGGTATGATGAAGATTTGTGCCCAATAAGCTTGAATACCAAATATTATATATTGCACCAATTGGATTCTGCCTGATATGAGAGCTTCTTTTCTATCCAAGAGGATATTCGAGCCACTTTTTTTTCGATAAGTGGTTGTCATTGCATTACAGAGAGTTTCTTTGTGTCAAGTGGTATGCCCATATATCTTAAAGGGAGGGATCCTTGACTATAACCTAGCTTTTGATGTATCTCATGCTTCACTTCTAAGTTGACTCCTCCATAGTAAATAGAGCTTTTGGCTAGGTTAGCTTTAAGACCTGATGCTGCTGAGAAAGTGTTGAATCTGTCATGTAGTAATGCTACATATGTAGCATCTCCTCTTATAAATAGTAAGAGATCATCCGCAAAACTCAACTGAGTTAAATCCAGCCTTGAACACATGGGATGATAATGGAATGTCTTTTCCTGTTTCAAAGCCTTCAAATTTCTGCTCAAGTACTCCATTGCGAAAGCAAACAAAAAAGGGGACATTGGGTCCCCTTGCCTCAGTCCTCTAGCTGCATCAAATGGTTTAGTTGTTTCTCCATTGATAAGTATAGTATAGTTAACAGCTGTCACACATTCCATAATGCACTTAGTGAATTTATTTGGGAAGCCCAAACCTTCTAGCATTTGCTGTAAATACCTCCAATCCACTGTGTCATAAGTCTTTTGGATATCCACATTGATGAGACTTCTTGGTGAAATGTTCTTCCTTTGAATAAGCCTTGACCAATTCATGAGCAAGCAAGACATTATCAGCCACCTTTCTACCTGGGATGAATCCTACTTGTATATCTGAGATCATTGAAGCAATGACTTTATGAATTATGTTGGCCAATACTTTGGCAATGAGTTTATATAGTATTGTACGGCAAGTATTGGTCTGTATTCTTTGATGCTTGAATAGTTAGGAACTTTAGGAAGTATTGTGATAGTTGTTCAGTTGATTGCTTTGTATAACTTCCATGTTTAAAAGAATTCCTTAGCTGCTTGCAAATTTCTGTGTTTAGTAGAGGCCAAGCTGTTTTGAAGAATAAGGCATTATATCCATCTACCCCTGGTGCTTTATCATCCCCAATAACACACAGCCCTTCATATATTTCTTGGTCTATAACTTTAGCACAAAGATTGATCTGTTGCATATGTTTGAGCACTACTCCATTTTTCATCACCTGTTTGTTTACTGCAGGTAATTGGGCTGCAGCTGATACCATCAGGGATTTATAAAAGGTAATGATCTCTTCTTGGATCCGGTAATGGTCTGTTAGTCTATCTCCAAAAGCATTGACTAGTTCTGTGATAACTTTTCTTTGTCTTCTTTCCTTCATAATTGCTGAAAAATACTTGAAGTTTGTATCTCATAGTCTTATCCATTTAGCTCGGTCTTTCTGTTGAAGGATGCTTTCTTCTATTAATGACCATTTTTCCATATTCTCTAAGAGTTGTTTCTCTTCAGCAACTAGTTCATCTGAGTAGCAGCTAAACATTAGATCTTGTATCCCCTACAGCTTATTCCTAGTTTGCTCCAGTCTTTCTTTGATACCTCTAAACTCTATGTTATTTAATTGCTTCAGTAATGGCCTTAGAGCCTTCAGTTTGTACCAAACATTCTTCATAGGATTTGAAGTATGATGTTCTTTCCATACTTCTTCTACTAATGCCATGGAGTTTGGATGGTTAGCCCATACATTGAAGAATCTAAATGGAATCTTACCACTTGGTTCTGTTCTCCTCATTGTTATTACCATCGGAGCATGATCTGATATGAATGGGAGTCTGCATTCTACTTCAATATGCCCATATGTTTGCATCCAGTCATCATTTCCTATAGCTATATCAATTTTGCTATAGACTCGATCAACACCTTATTGCTTATTTGACCAAGTGTAGAAACCCCCTTTCAAGGTAACTCATTCAAGTTTAACACATGCATACAGTCTGAAAAGTCTTGCACTTCATTGCTTGTGACTGGATTACCATAAAGCCTATCTTGTATTATCAAAACTGAGTTGAAGTCTCCCCAGATGATCCATGGTTTAGTGCTTTGTGGTGCTAAGGCTTGTAACTATTGCCACAATGGTTTCTTATCATTGGTGTTGAATCCATAGACTACTGTCATGAAGCAGTTAATTGGATTCTTTCTACCAACTATACTACAATGCATTAGTTCCAAAACAATTAGGAACGGTCCTGGCATGGACCAATGCTCTTTTGGTCCTGATGGTCCGGCGAGGCGGTGACCAATGTTCTTTTGGCCCACGAAAGGTGCCAAATTCTCGTTTTATGGCCCTAAAACGTCAAAAGAAAAAAAAGAACGGTCATGGCGGGGCGGTGAACAATGTTCCTTAGGGAATTTTTTATGGTCAGGAAAAATTTTAGGAGGTCCTGGTCCGGGGGCCTAGGCCCACGCGGAAGGCGTGGGCTATAGCTAAGGGTGGCATGTGGGCCGGTTAGGACCGGGTTCGGCCCAGGACCGCAAGCCCATATGGGCGATGGGCCTAAATGGTCCTAACCGGATAGGACGGGGACCGTGGGGAGGTGGACTGGGTAGTGGGCCGGTCTTGTACAATAGGCCCGCGAGACTGGGACCGTTTGGGCCCGCGACCAACTGATAAGTGGGTCGGTTCAAGTTGTCCTAACCGGCCCTAAATGGGCCTAATCGGGCCCAACGACTCTAAATTTAAAAAATATCTGCCCGTTAGGGCATTTAAAAGTAGTTGTTTGGGCTGCCAAAATAGTCGTTGGCTATTTACAAAATAGCCATTTAACCCCCCCAAACTTTATTTTAACCCCAAACTTTTTGTAATTACACTTTTCCGTATTTTCAACTATAAATACCCCCTCACTCTTTCATTTTTCTCACCAAATCATCAATCTCTCTCAATCTCTCTCTAATTTTCTTCTATAATTGCTTACTTTATTGTTGCAATTTGTGAAAAATTGCGGAAAATCCAAGAGTGATTGCAAAAATAGTCCTTTTTTGGCATTGTTTTTTAAGAAATAACACTTTTAGTAATTACTAATTTGGCCCTTTGAAAAACTATAAATACTCCCCCATGTTCTTCATTTCTTCACTCATCTCTCAGTTCTCAAACTCAAATTCTCAATTCAAGTTAAATCATGCCCCATACTTCTAGAGTGCGCTCATATGTCTGGGAACACTTTGAGGTGATAGAAGAAAATGAAGAAGTTCACAATGTAAAGTGCGAGAACTGTGGTCTAGTCTTAAATCTTCGTCTAAAGTGGGTGGGCATAGGCTGTTTAAGGAGGCATATGAAGAGTTGTCTTGAGCGTCCTCCAGAAATTCGTATTTAAGTTGATTTGAGACAATTTGTGTTATTTTTAAATTATTAGATGTATTTATGCTTAATATTTTAGGTTGTTAGATTATTTTGAAGTATTATAATGCAATGAAAATTTAATTTTACTCTTTTTCCGTTAATTTAGTTGTTGTTAAATGTAAACTTTAATTTGTAAGTTTGAAATAATAAAAGAACTTGCAAATTATAAGTGCAATTTTTTTCCATCTTCATAAGATTGTTTTTTTGTTTTATATTTTTACTTTATATTAATATAAATTACGATAGTTATACAAAATACAAAAAAACAACAAATTCTAGACAACCTTCTACAATATTTTTGTGTTTAAATTTGAATGAAAAAAAATTTAGGTCACAATTCTATAATATAAGTTTACAAGGAATTGCCTT